CTTAAACATTTCAACGTATAGGGAATTCACAATGACGTATGAGAGTGAATAAGATTTCAGCAAAGGATCGTGCATCAACGAACGGCATGTTTCTGAGAAAAATAAACTACTGATTGGACTTTGTAGCGAATCTCTGCGGTAGTTTGAGTATTTGGCTTGCCAATAACTTCACTTACAATTTCACCCTATTCAAACATTTTTATTCGAAAATCTGAGTGATCAATTTCTCGTTATGGTTGTGATTAGCTAGGACAAATATCAGCGCACAACGTTGAGAAGCTCGCTTTCCAATAACTGACAACACTTCCTTGACTGCTGACTATTTGGAGGTTGTGAACCACGCAGTTTCGTAAGAAAGACTTTGCCTTGCCGTATTAACACTATATTTTAGCTCTCTACACCATTTTTTAAATTTTTCTCTCTAGTCATTCTTAGACTACAGATTTTTAAAAGCAGAAGCGAAATTTATTTCCTAAAATTTCCAACAGAGAAGCGGTGGCTCCAAACGTAAGCGGTACACTGGAACATCGTCGTATGCTGATGGACAGAATTCCGCTTGTATACCTGTTTTAATACTCGAAAGACGGGCTTGACAACAAAACTGTGAAACAAGCAAGTCTCACCAGTAGCAGAAATCAGCACATAATCTTAGTAGAACCAAATAGCTCCCATCTTCTTAACAGGGAAGTATAAATTTTAACGATTTTTATTCAAACCTAAAGGATTTTGGACGATATGCGTTAGCTCAAAGTCCAAAGTGGCCATTACTCTGGCATCGAATACGATGCACTCAACGCACCTCTGCCGCCCTGTCTTAACGCAGGTGTTGCACAAATTCGAAAACGGCTACCCTTACGCAACGATCATTGCTATTCCAAAGTGTTAATAAATATCGTTGATCGTTGCGGTAAACGATGAATCGAAAGAAACGACAGTGCGGTCTCGCTTCTTCTGATTGCACGACATTCATGAGTTTGACGTGCGCCGATATTTTCATTAATATCCATAAAAAATCAGCGAACTCACAATAAGTGCAACCGACCCTCAGTACTATGCCTTTTGTCTCTTGTACTTTGCAAAATTCTGTAAGAATTTTAGAGTTAGTTCATCACCTTACCATACCTTACTATAGTGAAGAAAGAGACCCCTTTATTTAGAAGAAGGGCAAATTTTATCCAAAACATTCACTTCAACGCTCGTTTTGGGCAATATTGCCATCCTTTTGAATAGTGCTGCAGATTGCCCGTCTTCTGTCATTCTGGCATTGCTATCTTTCTAAATAGTGAAAATGCAAGGCTTACCGATCTCAGTGAAAAAGAAGAGTGGAAGGACTACATGCGGTCGCAAGTAAACTCACTTCATATAAAATATCTGGCATGAAGAGAAACAATTTAGCTTGGATAAATATTTTTCGGATGAGTAGACCTCATCCTAGGCATATCTTTAACATCCAGTATGAAATACAGACTGAGAGAGGAATTCAGTAGCGTATCCTATCCTTAATGACGAACTACATGTTGTTAGCCTGAATCATTTAGTCGGTGCAATAGTATTCCCTTCTTTGCAATATACAGTAGAAGCACTGGTTGATACATTGACCACGCCGAAGAAGCTGTTTACAACTCACATTCACCCTAGCGGTGTCTTCTGAACGGTAACTTGCACATTCAACACCAATCGCTTTTTGTAACTTAGATACTTCATACTTACTTGAACGGCCCGTGCTCACTGCTTGTGTGGACCCCAGCATAATCATCATTTTTCGGAGATTTTCTGATTAAGCTATTGTGGTTCCCTGGAATCCCGAGATCAGCCTGGCCAAAGTCTGCCCCAGGTCGTCACCACGACAGGCAGTCGCAGCTCTTGTGGATCACAGGAAGATTTGCCACCATGCGACTTTGATACCAGGACGGTGATGGATCCTGGCATTGGTTCACTCTTAGCTGAGCGGCCTGACAGAAACTGCTGACCTGCCACGGAAACGAATCCCCCACTGTATATCGCAGCCCGACACCCAAGAACACTTCCCAGCCACGATGAAGCGGTAAACCGTTGGGATGTGCAACTTAGATACTAGAAGGATATCATATTCTTAAGAAGCAGCAAAATTTGTTTCAAGAAGTAGACATCGATGTGCTCGCCGTGAAATGAGAAAAATAGGCGATTGCTGTAGAACATTATTTGAGTAATACTAACTGAATCACCACTTTGACAAGGTCCTCTAAATAATGAGCAATTGCTTCACTGCGAACTCCAAAACTATACAGAACTTCTGATCATTCAATGAAGAATTTCGCACAGCATCTATACAAGTGCATAAAGAGTTGCTTTAATTTTGGTCACCCGTTCAGCTGATTAAATAGGATCTGAATGAGTCACGCCGAACCCGAAACGTGGGTAATTAAATGTTTATCTACACAATACAACTACTACAACAATAGCAACGTAACGAAATTAACAACAATACAACCAATTGTTTGTCAAATTTCACTGCAAGCATTGAAGATGTATGATTTGAACGAGAAGCTACGAATGCACTTATAGATCCTTATAGACTAGGACTATAGACTTATCCTCACGTAGCATCCTATCCCTAAAGTGGGACGATACCGAATTAGTGAACGACTCTGCGCAGTCATTCTGTCACATGGAAAATATGGACTCAAAATTTCAATTCGTACCCATCGTGCGACTTCCTTATTGAATCTTATTAACAAGCTCTAAATGATAAATATCCCACTGTACAACCGTGACAAGATTTCAGGCTTCGTTCTCGCAGCCCTTAAGCGATACCTTTTTAGATAAACACGCCATCAAAACGCACAGCGAAGTTATTGATGGGTCAGTTATGTACTAAGGGCTCACTACAAATGGATGAGAAAAGTGACTGAGATATGATCTATTTATTTATGTGATCTTATAAACTGATACTCTTAAGCTGACGCGAGGTTGGTATAGGTCTTCGTGGTCGTCCCGCACGTAACATCACGGCTCTGAGGAAGGCGAAGTCGCCGAAACGCCAGCCATCGATCAATAACATCAAAAACAACGACAACGACAACGAAGACCTGTACAAATCTCGCGTAAGCTTAAGAAGATCAGTTTATAAGATCACATAAATAAATATATCAACTATCTATGCCGAGATTCATAGAAAGTCGGTCTTTCGAGTTATTATGAGATATGATCATTCAAATATAAGCAGTTCGACAGAAACCCAGTAATTTCCCCTCAGCCATTATTTGCATTTGCGTGTTTTGACGAATACGTTATACCTCTCCCTATCGGTTAGTAAAATACTAGTTGGATTCATAGTAGGACTAATGCCGAGAGAAACTGAAAGTCCTACCAACGAACTTTCGACTTAAACATGGTCGTACAAGTCACTTTGCAGAATATTTGTTGATATAAGCAAAATACAAGCGCTCCTCCGACTTGTGTATTTGGACGGACCTTCCTCACAAATCGTATTCGACAACTAATCTATCGTCGATCATTCCAAACGTTTCTTTAAAAACTGAAAAGCTGAAAGCTCACATTGTTTTTCGTTTTTCTAATTGACATCGAGATAACATGTTTATTCAGCGCATTTGTTACAGGCAGCAGTTCCTAGGTAAGTTCATATGAGATTGGTCGTCGTCAAACTTGTCCTCCTTTCTATCCTTCATAGGCGATTTTTGCCACTAATTTTCTTCCCTGAATGAATACTTGATCTATGCGGTGCTTATAAGTCCCCTGACTGGTACAAAACACGTCTCTACCGTATATCAAAGAATGACCTCTATAGCTATTATTTTTTTTACCCTTTTACAAGATTCACAGACTACCCTACTTTTAATGTCTATTTATGACTCACACCAGTATGTTTTTGGTTATATCAAACGTACTTTCGATAGAACTAGACCAAAGAACAAATCAGTATAACGACCAAACCAACAAGGCATACCGGCGCAAAGCTCGAATTTCCTCAACTATTATAAAGAGAAATATCAGAACTTTGATCTCAAGCCATCAGACATCGTCTTAATTATCTACTTTGACCAATCTAAAAAACATGGCATTTACTATGAATAATTCAAACAACTGATTATCATACTGTGACGCTCCTATAAACAGTTGATTAAAAAAAATTAAGATGAGATCAATAGTATTGCACAAATACTAACAAGATATGGAAAATTGAGCAAATCCTAGGGAAAAATCTCACATTATTACTATTAGGGGACAGAATGGTCTACTCGTTTTTTGGATGATTTGGATCAATTAAATGGCTGTGTTCATCACCGTCCACAGTTTCTTCATACTCTTCGTCATCTGGATAAAAATCCTCCCTATCAACTGTGAAGTCGGCAGAACAGATACTGTAAAAACCACTATGTCTGAATCCATTTCTGCATCAATTAGCTACAAGTATGCAAAAACGAACATAGTCTGTCCTTCCACAATGGAAGCATGTTATCGCATACCAAAATATTGCAAAATATTTATTCTAGGTTCTATTCTGTTATTCTGCAATCTACAAGATGCGAGCTTTTTAATCTAGAACTTTCACAATTTCTTAAATCTGCATTCTAATTCGAGTAATAAGTTATTGCAAAATAAGTGTAACCGTATACGTCTGATTAAATCACACGTTCTTGTGGATCATTTAAAAAAGAATGTCTCGGCTCAGATGATTTTCGCAGAACTTGTCATTTGTCAACCGCCCTCCCGCTGATCGCCGAGCGACACGAGACGCCAATACAGTCTTCATTTAAAACTGTCGCATGCAGTGATAATTTAGCAAGTTCTGATCAATATGAGCACTCAATGAGCATCAAACCCTTCTCCATGTATCACCGATTAGACGTCTGTCCATCGAAACGATGGCCCTCCTGCTTCGCGTTTGACATCTCTAGAATTCTAGTCACTAACAGCACTTGTCCATTGGTCGTCGTTTCGACGCATTACATTTCTGGTATACCTGATTCTCAACGTTTTGACGTCCACAATTGCGTCTATTATCTTTGATCGTTGACGTAGGTCGAAACTCGGATTCTCTCTCTCATGTAAAGTAGTTTCAACATCGCACTCTGCGTGAGTGCGTGCGACAGTGGTGAATGATCTTCTTTTCCTTCTTATTTAGTGACCAAGCTTCAAACATGTACGTTGAGATACGAAGACTCTAGGATCGAAAAGGTGGACATGTAGTCGACTGCCACTATATTGTTGACACTCTTAAAGGTTCTCCATATCTTCCTCTTAGCTCTGGGGATAAGTCGATATTTATGTTGACTCTCTGTACCAGATGCACAAAACTGAAGCATCTGTAGACATTCGTTCCATTGAGCGTGAAGATAATCTCACAAATTTGTTTATCATACACATTGTCCTTGTGAGATTTATTTGAACATCAATGCTCCCAAGCGTTGTCGAAGCCAGTCGGAATTCGTTCTGCCTCATTTTATGTTATAAGAACGATATCTTCAGCTAAGTGGAGATGATGTAATTGCCGACCATCGATTTTCACTCCCATGTTATACTTTTCTAATTACCGCATAATGTTTTCAAAACTGACCGCAAGTAGGTTAAGAGACATGGTACCACCTTGTCCAACCCATCTACTAAAGTCGATGTTAATGCTGTCGCGGTTTGGTAATACTCTCGTTGTGGAATTTTTAAATAGCGCACGAAAGGTCTTCACACAATGATCAGCGAAACTTGGCCGTCCAGAATTTCAACGACTGTTTCTGTCTCAACTGAGTCAAGAGTCTTTTTCAGAACGACGAATTTCCCACTGAAGAGCACAAGCAGTTCCAGTTAACCCAGCTAATAAGCATTGGTTTGTACTGGACATTTCAAAAAACTCAACAATGACTAATAAGATATCACAGGCATTAGCCATGCTAATTGCTCCGCCATGAAGGCGAGAACTGAAGTCATTTCTTTGGTAAAAAAAAAAGCAATGGCAAGTAATTAAACAGGGAAAACTAACCTGTAACATATTATACTAAGAAAAGCGATTGGCATGCCGAAAAGAACTGATGACAGTAAAGGTTGCGTGGCAAACATTTGCGTGATATTTGAATAGACTTCGAAAATCATTCGGCGCATTCGAGTTGGCAACGAACGACCTAAAACTATTCAATAATTGTTATATTTCATTACCACCTGTATCCTCTGTATTCCAGCTAATGATAGAATAACTTGACTGGCTATCAGCAAAGGCTCCAGTGGCCGTCACCACGTTTCACAGTTTACTTACTCACTTTATAGCACATCCCCAAGGAAGACAAGCAGTGCAAATTTTTGGTACAACATCGTTTTCAACCGTTTTTGGTGGGAAGGTAGCCGCAAGCAATTTGCTGCTCTACACAGTGCCTAATTTTGTTCAGAGCTCAGCATCCGAAAGCACGTTTTGCAGTCGGTTAAGCTCAGGCTAAGTGATCACGCTGAAAGAGTAAACACTGCAGTTGTGGGATTTCGACAAGCAGGGATACCCCTGACCTCACAGAGCCGGCACTCTACAGATCTCTAGTGAAAGCAATGTAATTTGGATTTCATATGGCAGTCACCTCCAAGCGAAACTTGCACTCCTTTCTCAATTCCATCTGCAAGGTTATTAAGCCAAGTGACCAACGACGCACGAGTGACTCTATCCGGATCGTCCTCATTAAGGTAGTACTCATAAGTTGTGTAGTTAAACACAAGTATGCCTAAAAAAATAGCTATTTCAATGGTACAAAACAAATCGCACATTTCACATAACTTACTGGGAGGGTCCATGTTCCCCATCACAATGTTCGTGGCCAATTCCGGTCCATCCAGCCAAGCAAACTGGAAACGGGACCACAAATATTCAGACTTCCGTAGATCCTCAGCCGCCTGCCTCGCCTAAATTATATGTATCTTCCAACGCGTACAACAATTCTGGATAGCCCCTGTTTTAACCACTTAAGCAAAAATTCGTAATTATACAGAGGAACACCCACTTTTTCACAAAATATCCCTATGGGTGACGACAGGTTGAATCTTTCCAACTGAAATAGGTCGATAGTAACTGAATTCAAAACATATTAACAGTTAGGAAAAACAATAGGTGGAAGTTAGTTAAAACCAAATAGAGTACCTCACTACATATCACAAGCACTATTAATTTTCCGGTGCTAGCTATATCGGCAAGATTTGAAGAAGACGCACGAGGCATTAAAGGCCACCTTTCAGCCATTATCCAAGAGCTTAGGCCTTCTGCAATAATTGTTGAATAGAAATTTCCTTCAGAATTGGATTTAGTACGGGTTAAAGAATCAAAAATGGCACAGTTAGACTACACACTCTATTCAGCCAAGACTTCCTATACTTACATCATGTTAACAATTGGCGTCACAAGTGTCACAATCATTTGCGAAATTCTAGAACTAAACTGCATTATCCAAAACTTTCGTGACAAGTTGTCACTAGCATGCTGTATTTAAAGAGATACGAGAAGACATCAAATAAATGCTATACTCAAATTTGCATACAAAGAGACGGAACCACAAAATACAGTAGAGAGCTTGTTTCCAAACAGACCAAATGACAAGTTCGAAAATCCGCAACTACTGGCTAATATTATAGCATAATAAGGGTTTAAAAAAGGATAAAGCTCCCGGCATTGATCAGTTCCTGAGGGGTGGGCCACGTATTCGACCTCATTAAGCATCGCTGGAAGTGATTAAATGCATATGTGGCCTTTACAATGACTACAGGTGCCTATCAATGTACCGAGCCAACGCTGTTCCTATGACCCACTAAGCCCTCCATTCCTTCGGGATCGGCGAATTGGTACTAGACTTGTCTGGTAAGATAACAGCATTGGCCCGATACATCGGTAGGCCACCGGGAGTCATTGTAAAACCCAGATATGCGTTCAATCACCTCGAAACGATGTCTAATGAAGTCGAATACATGACGCATCTCTCATGGATTGAACAACGCCGAAAACTTTTTTAGCCTTACATACCTTCCCAGGTAACTTGCGCTCAGTTAGGTTCATCGAACAGCAAACAAAGGCGGTGAAACTAACGAGCAACCTTCTAGACAAACATTTATGGAAATAGTTACGATTTCACCACTCCATACATACCACAGACATTTGCAATTTCAGAATACAACTTACCAAATTTGTTTCAAAGGGGAAGTTATAGGGTGATGCCATGAGCATAGAAATAGTAAAATACCAACCAACAGAGCCATAGTATGGAAAAAATGACGAGTCCTTGAAAACAGCAACACGTGCCCCTGATTCCCGTAGCGAAGTTGGGACCTCAGAATCAGCAGTGGCGAAAAACCTATTCTAAACAATGATTCAATATATTGAACAAAATGCAAATATGGAGTTATAGTTATGGAGGAAAAACATAATAAAACAGGAGCTTTGGCCAGCTGCTTATAATGGGATTTTAGGATCATATTGTTATCCGGTTGAGAAAGGAAGAATTAACAACAAGATTAAAACGTTTCTAGTCAGCTGAATTATGACTCAAAGTTGTCGGTGCAAACAGACACAACCATGCTACGATAACATATAAAGTGGTCAAGACAAAGCTAAAGGGGAAAGCTACATTCGACTTTCGTTTGGAGGTGATTGAATGCGTGTCTGGCCTCTAGAATGACTCACGGGAGCCGTCTGATGTATCGACCCAGTGCTGCGCTACCCCCCCCCCCCCCCCCCCCCCCCCCGACAAGTCTGGTACCAATTTGCCCCGACCCCGGAGGGATCGGGGGCTTGGTGGGCCTGCAGAGCGGAGATCGATCCCAAGTGTATCGCAGAGCGCCTCCGACCACTGCACCACACGCGCCCTTGCAACCAAGATCGACTAGGCGAATCTACCAGGTAAAAAAGCTACGCTAGATCTATTCAGACAAATCAGCACGAATACCTTCCAAAATAATGAGTCCGCAATCACTTCAAATTCTGCCTGCATATCATCCTTCCCATCACCAATGATAACAAACGCAGGATCACTTCGAGAATCACGTCTAATCTGCAACAATACCTTATTATTAAATTCCTGCACTACTGTTGAACCAAATAGAGATGGTTGTGACAATATATAAGCTTTACAATAACTGACGATTAAGCTGGTTTCGTCTTCTTTCCCAAGAGCTTGGAAACACAACATTAATATGGAGCTTATCTAATAAATTATATCTACAACCTCACAACACGGGGGGGGGTATAATCCGTGCAAATGAAAGGTTACCAAAGAGATAAACCCAGAAAAAGAACTTTCTCGTTAAATCGTTTGCGGAAGCACATTACTTACTTAGTTGGATATTAGGATAGCTCGTCTTCACTGGCTATGCGGACCCTAGCATAATCGCTACTTTCTCGGAGTTTTACTGGTTTAGCCACTGTGGTTTTCGGGAGTCCCGAGGTCAGCCAGTCTGCCCCGGGTCGTTACCACAACAGGTAGCCGCCTTTGTGGATCAGAGGGAGATTTTCCAACATACGACTAGTTTGATATCAGGACGGTGGTGGATCTTGGTGTGGCTTACTCCCAGATGTGTTTCCTGATAGAAACGCTGGACTCCTCGGCTTGGAAGACCCTTCCGGAGGAATGAATCTCATCGTTTTACATCGCAGCCTCACAACCAGGAACATCTCCCAGCTACGACAAGGCAGTAAACCATCGGGAGGGGAAGCACATTACAATGTGGATAATCCTCTAAAGGTGTATCGCAAACTTTAGACTATTTAAGCATATTCCTATTATAAATCAAACCTCGTGAGCTCAAAGGACAACGACAAAAATCAAACCTACTGCTATGGAAGACTACCGATATGCAGTACGTCTCGAGGCACGCGTTATCAAGCGCTAAGCATGAGAATCTGTCAGATACGTTGGTCTCTTGTACTAAGATGCCTTCACATAGCAAGCAATCGGTATCGGCAAGCGCAGAGCAAGGATTCTTACTGGTAAGGTTATCATAGTAAATAGATGATCACTTGACGTCTGTTAGTGGATTCTATGTTTTGTCATTTCCTCCACAGGATCACGCCCTTTTGGACACCGAATAGAATGCGATTAAAAAACTTCTGAATCGAAAAATAGCCCTTACAAGTGATACAAGAAAACAAAGCCTACTTCATTCAATCTGACGCCGTTAACTTTTTCGACAACTGGAGCAGCACTCTTTACGACGAAGTTGAACAACGCCTCTTTTGTGCGCTCTCCAAAATACTCGATTTTCCGTCCATGACGGAAACTGTAACGCATATCATCCTCTATGCAAAATTGTACTAAAAGACAACCTACAATATAATGGTGGGATATCCGTTAACAGAGAGCTTATTGCAAGCACTTGTGAAACGTGTGCAGTCCATCTTTGCAACCCGTACCGGTAGATTCTTGTCGCTAACGGCATGTCCAAGGTGTTCCCAGACAGGAAGTAAACGTTTACAGTGCGCACACCATGGAGCATAGAACTGTAGTGAAACTCAGAATGTGCTATTTTGGACCGACAGCTTTAACTTTGAAAAAATCATAAATGAAAGATGCAGTTCTGTTTATATTCTTTTCAACTACTGAACATTATTAGCATTTCTCTGTGAGATCGTTATAAGCGCAGAAAGGATAAAAAAGTATAAAGAATAAAGCTCTCAGCGTTGAGCAATTCCTGACGGATGCGCCATGCATTCGACTCCATTGACGTGATTGGATGCATGCTTGGACTTCGCAAGGACTGGCGGCGGCCTACTGAAGCATCGAGCCACTGTTGCTATCCTCCCAGACAAGTCTGGTAACAATTCACCAAGTCCGGAGGAATGGAAGGCTTGGTAAGCCTGGAGCGCAACAATCGATCCCACGCGTATTGCAGGTTGCCTCCGACCACCGCGCTCCATTTACCCGTTACAAGCACAGAGAGAGGAGCGGAAAACTAGTTCCAATGTTTTCTTTTTTTGTGAAAAGGCTTCAAATGGGAACTAGTGCTCTGCTAGACCTAAGCATCTGACTGTGTGAACAGTACTTTAGGGCTACAAAAAACGACTTCACCCTGATAAAAGAAATAACAAAAAATCCTAACTTGCCTTGACAATCCATAGCCCTTCATCGCTAACATCCAAGAATTTTTCGTTTAGATCAATGACAACAGTTAACTGCCCTGCTGCCAAGCAACATTTGCTAAACACTAATAACAGAAACAATGGCTGCCGCATACAACCTGCAAAGGATGGAGTAAATATTTCCCTAAAGTCTTCTGAATGGTCCCCAAAAAACAAAACTATAGCGAAAGCAATACCCTATGTGATTACTAGATAAAGCGATAGTTGACCGAAAGCATTAACAAAACTTAAAATAATTGCGCGTCAACTGCATGAGATTGTACGTAATTGCGGTAACTTCTTCAAGTCAACTCCCAGTGAATTTCCTCTCTGAGTGGTTAGCTGTCAGGCGCAGAGGATTGGAGACCTGTAGATAGAAATTTGTAATTCACGGAGTATTCACTATCCATAGAAGCACAGTGGCTGGTGGTGCAGTTCATTGGAAATTAATGTGTTGGTTCGAAACTCTTCCGTTCTCCTCCAATCAATCTACGTGAGAACACCTTAGCTCGGCTATCTCCTAGATTACAAGGAGAATCGACTCGATGAGAATTCTGCAACATTCACACAAGAGGAAGACGAAATCCTCAAGCAGCAGCCGAAACAACACTGCAAATGTTCAAAGACCTTTGTGGACGATGAATGCGAGGAGAACGAATCGAATGTGAGAATTGCTGGGATCCGCACAGATGTGGCGAGGGATCACATAACGTAGAAAAACCTCTTGAACTTATAAACCACATGAACCTTAGAGGTTTTATGCAACAATTGTCAATTCCTTGTGGACCACTGTAATGCTTCCAATTGCAGAAGTTGTGGGAAGATTTGTAGCTAAAGAAATTTCTTGAGTAGAAGATTTACGACATCAGTAAGGTGTTATGAAAATAATCTCTATTTTCGGCTATAATTTCATCTTTATCTGAGCGGATGATTCGAGTCGGGTATGCCTCATAGGTGTGCTCCAGTGAGGAAGATCTGACTCGATACGAAGACGGAGATGCCGTATCGAGAAGAAGAACAGCTGTGGACTATCAATTCAAATCATCGGCTCCGATGAAGGCGAAGACGTCGAAACGTTAGCCGAAAACAACGACTATTTATCAGACTCATATGAGCTTATCAAAGAAAGAATACATACGAAAATGTGTATTGAGAGTTAGTAATGTGTTTGTTCCCAAGGTTGTAGTCTTCCCATTGAAAATGCGCACTTTGAGAGCGCATAGGCGTTCTGTATACTACATACCTGCTTATAGAAGCCTTCTCGCCTAGATGATATCTTTTCGTGATGATAAAGTGCTCTCAACATCTAGACTTTACTGTGTAAGCACCAACAGATCCGCTGTGGAATTCAAGCAGAGGGGTGAATCGTCCGATACTGTGGCTTGATGTACTTTTAGCTAGCACAGCGCATTGGGAAAGCCTACCCATCGACAGTATCGTGTTAGCTTATCACTGGAAAGATCTTCAAAACGCTACTTGAAATGCCTTCTGACAATGTGTCGCTTCCAAAACTTTAGGATTACAATTCACTGTGGCCAGAACAAGTAGACTTCATTTTACTGGCGAAAGATGCAGATTCCAGTGGTTCACGTACCGATTAATGCGGTAATTCCAGCTCCACTAGTGTAAATCGTCATTGCTGAGGTTAAAAAGCTCTTAGTTAGATCTAAGTTGTTATCTTATCAGTGAAAGAACAAATCAAGTTGTTTTTATTCCTAATCATTATGATTTTAAAAATACCCATCCAAAATCACATCTACTTCTTCACCAAGCAATAAGAATGCTGGTGTTGCTAAGAAAGGGTGAAAAGAAAATGCTTTTCCTTTAAAACCTGGAGAAGCTTCAAAATAATAGGACATGGGGAATTTCTATTTTTTCCAGCGGATGGGTTCTGGAATAGTGTCTGTAATCCGTTTATATCTATATATTCTTCGAATCCATCTCAATTGCTACCTTGTTCCCCTTATTCTAAGTCTCAATCGTCTCGCTTACCTTAGATTAGGGTCGGAAAAGCTAGCAGATTTTTTTAAGAAAGAATCTTTCATTGTTCTCCAAATCCCCTAGTGTTTTACAGCTTTATTAAGGGCGTGAAGGATTTCCGGGGTGTCTGCCTGCAGTGAACAAAGAGGGGTTTATCCATTTATCCACTAGTAGAGCCTCCCGAACGAAGAAGGAATTAGAAGTTTCCATTCATAAGCTCAACCAAGGATAGACCAATACCGGAGATGACCACCATCCAGGTACCGAACAAATGCTGAGATAGCAAACTCAGCTTTGATCCGCATGGGCTGGCGATTGCTTTTGGTCATGACAACCTGGGAATAGATTCAGCAAAAGTGCCGTTCAGAGTCCACGAAACAACAAGCAGCTCAAGCGGCAATCAACCAGATTCAAAGCCCTTCACTAGGGGCGCTCTCGTCTCCGACGTCGAGCAGCGAGATAACCGATGAGAAGCGATCAAATCTCGTACTGTACAGGGCTTCATAAAATCGCGATGAATGCACGTGCCCCCGGAAAGTCATGGAGACTGAATTTTGTGTTACACCCCATTACAGCGGAACAGTGTACTCAGTAATCGAACTTTATGCTCTTTTTGAAGCTGCTGTTAACATCAAATTTCAATTGATTGCCCTAAAGGAAACAAAAAGCCGGAATAGTGGCACACACCAATTAGACGACGAAACCCTTGTCATTCGTGGAAGAAAATTTCCGCCATGGAATGTCGGAGGCGTTGATTTTGGCGTACACCCATCTAGTAGTCCTCGACTAGTTTGACTCAAATCAACTCAGAAATCGACGAGGAAGCTGAATAAAATTGGAGTATGAGAATGTATCTATTAAAGCAAAGTGATTTCCACTGTCTGATAACAAGCACCGACTACTTTTCTTAAGCAGGTCCTTCATGAATGACAATGTACACTTACTAACAACATATTAACACATGCGCGACACGCTTTGACTCAAATGCACATGTGGAGGTAAACAATGTCCCTTTTTTAACTTTAAAAACAGACATACCAGATCATAGTAGCTCAGCGGTAATGCCTACACGTCACATTGGGAATCCTGAGTCGCTTATCGTACAATAAACTGTGTACAACAGAGAGAATTTGGATTGGTGTGTGTCACGCAGCACTTATGGATGTGCTGTGTAGTTTCGCCACACTCAAACTTGAGTAATTAAATTTCTATCAAAGACAACGAATACAACTGTAATGAGACAACGAGACCAACTTATATGCACATACATAATAAAGATGAAATAACTTGAAAGACCGACTTTCTATAAATCTCGGCATAGATGGTTGATATATTTATTTATGTGATCTTATAAACTGATTTTCTTAAGCTGACGCTAGGTTGGTACAGATCTTCGTTGTCGTTGTCGCTGTTTTTGAGTTACTGATCGATGGCTGACGTTTCGACGACTTCGCCTTCCTCAGAGCCTGGACGTACTTTATGTTAGAATACTTTTTATTCTTCGGTGGAAAAAAAGGTTAAAGTATTAATGAAGATCAAACTTTCAAATAGACGCCATATTGAACAGAAAGGCCACTCACCGTGATGTTACGTGCGGGACTGGTCCACACGTAGTTCACGTGTAGTCGCGAGCAAGACACGCCCCGGGGTCAAAATATCATTTTGAAATACGGCGCCAGGTCACGCGTAATAGTGAGGCATTCGTCCTTCCGGTTCATCTTTGGTTTTTTGAAATTTATCCAAAACGCCTCAAGAGTTTTGCGCGTTGATGTTTTTGATTTCTGCGCTAGGAACCGCACATTCACTTCAAAATCATCGCCGTTGTGCTTTTGTGCCCAATGCGTACCTAGAGGGGTGTTTAAACGGATTTTAGCTTTCTCATCTCGATGTTCTTTTATGCGGACATAAAGTGATCTACCCGTTTCCCCGATATATTCCTCGCCGCATGCCTTACGTGAGATCAAGTATATTATACTCGTGCAATCCCGGTCTCTCCCGTTAGGACAGATCATACAGTTTTCTGAGCTGCGCTAACGATCATCGAGGCGGTGGCGAACTATTTGACGACGTAGGTTACTGGGTGTGAGGTCAATAATTGCTACATAATTTTCAAGACCACTTTTTCTTAAACACCTCTTAATGGCGTAACTTATTTCATTTGATATGAAGCGTAACTTAAAAGGGATTTTACTTACGTCCGAAACATTATTTTGGGGAATTACACCACGTTTTTGTCTATCCCGATTGGCTTCTGCTTCGTAGCCATTGGAAATTGCTATTTTTCATTCCAGGTTTTGCGATTCCTTCCTCTCCTCTTCTCCTGTGCACACATGTTCACCCGTTCGCTACACGTTTTCGAAGAGTGCTTCCGGTTTCGCTAATGTATTCGTCTCTACACGCCTTACAGGAGATCAAATAAAGTGTACCCGAATTCATGCAATCACCATCTCTACCAATGGGGCAAATTATGCAATTTTGAGTTGCACATAGACGGTCATATAGGCGGTTGCGAACTAGCTGGCGCTTAAGATTACTCGGTGGTATTTCAACTACGCTCACCGAATTCTCTAAGCCCGCCCTTCTTAAGCAGCGTTTTATAGCAGTACTTATATCATTTCAGATGAAAGGTAGGATAAACGGGACCTTTTTATCGCTAGAGTTGTCGTTTGGGAGCCTACGATTTCCCCTACACCTATCCCTAGCTACAATTTCGTAGCCATTAGAAATGGCTATTTGTCCTGCCGAGTTCCGAGACTCCTGTCTCTGCTGTCTTCCCGTGCACACGTTGGTTGCTGTTCGAAACGTTTTTTCTACAAGGGCCCTTTTCGTGTGAGAAGAATGAGAGGAGGGGTAATGAACCAAGGTGTTTTACTGCTTGGCTTTCGGTACCACTTCGTAATGTAGCCATTTTCTGACCGGTTAATTTGGACGTTCAGGAATGGAAGCCATTTATCTTTCGGCTTCTCTCGGGTGAACTTGATATACTCTGACTCTGCATTTAACAATTCGAAACACTTGTCCATTTTTTCTTGTGTTGAGAAAAGAACAAAACAGTCATCTATATATCTACAGAAGAGTAGCGGCCCAAGATCAATCACCGGTGCTTCCACCTTAGACATAAACGCGATGGCAAGACTTGGTGTCAGTCGCTGTCCCATTGCCAACCCTTTTATTTGAGCGTAGTACTTTCCGGACCATCTGAAGATTGAGCAGCTCAAGCATTCTTTTGAAAGTGCCATCAACTGCTGTATCTTGAAGCAGTACATGTTTATTGCTCCTTCGTGTTGTATAAGGAGTTCGAATATGGCTTGCATTGCGGAGTCATTCGACACGTTTGTATAAAGGGCGGTAACGTCGAAGGGCTCCATCACGCACGCGCTGTTGGGCTGCGCAGTACGTAGCACAATGATTTTCTTCGTACACACATTTGTTTAATAGTGAAAACATTTCGTTTTGTGTGCGCCGCAATGAAATGCGTAGTAGTTTCATTTTACTACCATCGTGCTCAGCATTTGGAAAGAAATCTTTGGAAGAGAATAGTAGCTGGGTCTAAATCGGTATGCGGAAAGATTCGGTGTGATATTAAGAGCAAGTTAAGGGAAAAGTTTGAAGAACTATCACGCCGCTCAAAAAGGTCAAATCAAAGGACCACCGCTGGTCAAGTCCCAAGTAAAAACGCTGAAATAGACTGCGCACCAAGAACATCCAGAGTTACTGTGCTAGGAGGTATAACGCTTCCGGAAAATGTGCGTTCCTTGTTAGAATTGGGTCCGAGTTTTGCACCTAGTCAACCCATTTCTAAACCAATCCTGCGCAGGATCACGTGTAGTCTACATGAACTTCAAGATCAGCTACGTTACAGGGTTAGACTAGAAAGGTTAGGTAAAGTAGTATCAAGGGGGAAATACCCTTTCCCCGAACTTTCTTTAAACATGAGCTACCAAATAGCAATATTGACCCTATATTTCGTTTATTTTTAGAGGAAATTCTCGGCATACTTAATCACTACCAAAAACGAAAAAGAAGCTCGAACCTCACAAACCAACAAATGTGTGGTATGCGCCAGGTTAGAGAGCTTTGGAATTCAAAATCTGTTAGACATTCTATTAGTGATAAAGACGGGAAAATTTGTAGTTCTTCCTAGTCAGTTGGATATTAGGATAACAGAGGAGCGCCTCAGTGATGTTTCTCTCTATCGAATATCCTCTGAAAAGGAATACAGAAATCAATACCGAAAATTGAATCAAGAATGGGCACGGCAAGGGCCGCGGATTTCGAGCATTCAGTTAATTCTCGACTTAAGAACGAACACCCGATTTGCCCTGTCCTTGCTTATTAAAACACATAAGCTTACTTTAACTGATGATATTACGTCAACGAACCCATCATCATTTAAAGTTAAACCTATCATCAGTTGTATAGGCGGGCCAACGGATACAATAACGTGGTTCCTAAACATTATCCTAACCCAGCTGCTAAAATTCGTCCCAACCCATCTACCTAACACCAAAGTATTTCTAGATCACCTAAGGCGCGCGCAACCAAACAGCACGCATATAATGGAGTCATTCGATGTTAGTTCACTTTATACCAACGTGTCCAATGACTTCGCAATGCAGCCATTCTCGAGTTGCTCGCAGAGCATGAAAAGAAAATAAAAATGCACGGCTTGTCGATTGCACAACTAATGACCCTCTTAAAACAGTGTCTTAGTTGTTCAATCTTTAGGTGGTCTGGAAAATATTTTGCACAAATTAGAGGGTTGGCGATGGGGCAGCGTTTAGCACCAACCCTTGTCATCGCTTTCATGTCTAAGGTGGAAGCTCCAGTTCTCGATCACCGACCCTTACTCTACCGTCGATACATAGACGACTGCTTCATCGTCTGCTCCACACAAGAACAGATGGATGAGTGCTTTGAATTGTTAAACCGACAGTCAGAGTATATAAAATTTACACGAGAAAAACCTACCGAGAACTGGCTTTCATTCCTAAGCATCCAAATAAAGCTCTCAGCAAGTGGCTATATAACAAAATGGTATCGCAAGCCAAGTAGTAAAAACATTCTAGTCCACTGCCTCTCCTCTCATCCTTCACACATGAAAAAAGCACTTATCAAAAATATGTATCGTACGGCTAAAAATGTGTGTACAGGAGAAGAGGAAAGGAAGGAATCGCGAAACCTGGCACGAAAAATCGCCATTTCCAATAGCTACGAAGTAGAAGCCACTCGGGTTAGAGGAAAACAGTGGGTAGTTTCCCAAAATAATATTTCAAACGAAAGTAGGATCCCCTTTAAGCTGCCCTTCATATCAAATGAAGTAAGTCACGCCATTAAAAAGTGCTTAAGAAAAAGTGGTCTTGAAAATTATGTAACGATTATTGACATCCCACCCAATACTCTACGCCGCCAGTTAGTTCGAAACCGTCTCTATGATCGTTTGTGCAGCTGAGAGAACTGTATGATCTGTCCTAACGGGAGAGACGGGGATTGCATGAGTTCAGGTATACAGCTACTTGATCTCATGTAATGCATGCGGAGAGGAATATATAGGGGAAACGGGTAGATCACTTTGTGTCCGCATAAAAGAACATCTAGATGGGAAAGCTAAAATCCGTTTAAACACCCCTCTAGGTACGCATTGGGCACAAAAGCACAACGGCGATGATTTTGAAGTGAATGTGCGGATCCCTGCGCAGGAATCAAAAACATTAACGCGCAAAACTCTTGAGGCGTTTTGGATAAATTTCAAAAAACCAAAGATGAACCGGAAGGACGAATGCCTCACTATCACGCGTGACCTGGCGCCCTATTTCAAAATGATGTTTTGACCCCGGGGCGTGTCTTGCTCGCGACTCCACGTGAACTACGTGTGGGCCAGTCCCGCACGTAACATCACGGTGAGTGGCCTTTCTGTTCAATATGGCGTCTATTTGAAAGTTTGATCTTCATTAATACTTTAACCTTCTTTTCCACCGAATAATAAAAAGTATTCTAACATAAAGTAAGTCCAGGCTCTGAGGAAGGCGAAGTCGCCGAAACGTCAGCCATCGTTCAATAACATCAAAAACAACGACTACGACAACGACAACGAAGATCTGTACCAACCTCGCGTCAGCTTAAGAAGATCAGTTTATAAGATCACATAAATAAATTTTGGGACTTCATTTTTTGAATTTATCCGCTATCTCTCCTTTCCGCGAGAAATGGAATCTTGCACAAAGGAGGCGGTAGTCTGATCCCGTGTAGAATTTTGGGACAACAGTGACATCGGTTAGGCAAAACCTTCGGTTTACTATGGTGTGGTCGATTTCGTTATGGTACTCTCCACTGAGAGATTCTCACGTCCAGCGCTGAGTGTGGGGCTTTTGGAATTGTGAGCTATCACGAATAGTCTTGGTCGCCATGATAAACTCAGACAACCGCTCACCCTATTCCTTCCGTTCTAATCCGTGGGTCCCAATGTGACGTTTTTCAAACGTTCTTTTTGGTCTAATCTTGGCGTTGAACTCTTCAATGATGTCCTTGAAGAATGTGTGCGCTTCTCTGTAGAACTTCTCCGAGTCCACATACTGTCGCATGTTCCATGTTGTTCAACACTTCTGCTCCAGTGTCGTAGTCGGCGTTAAATGGCCCCGACAACAAGTTATAGGTTCCATCGTTGGAGATACTTCCTCCAACTAGCTATAGATCGCATTTAATTCGTACTCGTAAGCCATAATAGTTGGCGGGAAGCAATTGATGTTACTGATCTTCTCAAGTGTTAGTTGAAAACGGGAAGCGGCCAAGCGAGGAAAAAGGATTTATTTTTAATCGATAAGATGGGTAAATTATTTCCTACATAAAGAGGTCTAAATCGCTTTTTATGTGTGAGAACTTACGTAGGCTCAAATAAAGACTGATTGATAGTTCACTTTTACCACAGGCATTGTTTGAGAAGCTTCTTTTACATAAGTTTGTAAAAAGTAAGTCTTTTTTTAGTAGGATCATAGCAGGACTTCGGTGCATCATCATGATTTACAGGAGGACTATGTTTAACAATTACCAACGAAGGGGAAGATGCGACGGTATTTCGACACCATATATACTATGGCACCTAGCCGCTAGAGAAAAATTGCACAATAACGTTTCCGTAGAATAATACACCATAATATCTCGATATTTCAGCCAATAAACTTTTGAAATAACGGTAGAGGGTTCCAACGAGATGTAAAAAAGACAACTCCAAGGATTTGGGCCTCTGCAAATCTACTACGAGTCGAGAAACAGGTACGCTGCTTTTGCAGTAGTGAGATATATAATAAAGTCAAGTACTTCATCGTATTCTTGTTGACCAAACGCCAGGTGTTACTTTTATTCTTTATTCACGAATAAGCTGACTTTTCGGCGGATTTCGCCTTCCTCAGAGCCTGAAAAGGTCAAGTTGACAGCAATCTATTCGACCAAACACCTCCAAACAAAGACAACGCTTAACCTAGATTTCAATCACATTGAACACAGCTTTGCACACTCACCGCTTTCTATGAGTCTTCCACTAAATACGTCACGTGGAGACCAACCGCACAGAACTCACACGGAATCGTATTGTGCCCCTCCCACCAGAATAAGTCTTATATACTCGAAAGACCGACTTTCTATGAACCTCGGCATAGATAGTTGATATATTTATTTATATGATCTTATAAACTGATCTTCTTAAGCTGAGTATATAAAGTCTTATATACTGCTCAATATCACGCGTGATAATGAGGCATTCTTCCTTGTGGTTCATTTTTGGATTTCTGGAATTAATCCAGAATGCCTCGAGAGTTTTGCGCGCTTGCGTTCTCAATTCTTGTGCGAGAATCGTGACACGTGCTTCAAAGTCCTCCCCGCTATGTCTCTGGATCCCATGCGTGCCTAATCGGGTATTTGGTAGATGTTTGCCGGCTAGGTGTTCCTTTATGCGGACACAGAGGGGTCTGCCCGTTTCGCCAATGTATTCGTCTCCACACGCCTTACAGGAGATCAGATAAACTATACCCGAGCTCATGCAATCAACGCCTCTACCACTGGTGCAAATTATGCAATTTTGCGTTGCACATCGACTGTCGTACAAAACAGTTATCAATATATCTACAGTAGAGTAGCGGCGCGAGATCAGTCACCGGTGCTTCCACCTTGGACACAGATGCAATAGCAAGGCTTGGTGCCAGTCGTTGTCCCATTGCTAGCCCT